TGTTCTTGAACTTGTGGGAATACCTAAATTGACGAAAACCATTTGGGGTGGAGCCAAACTCGCTGATGTTCTTGAACTTGTGGGAATACCTAAATTGACGAAAACCACTCCTTTGGGTGGAAAGCACGTAGAATTTGTAAGCGTTGATATGTGCAAGGTGAAAATTTCTTAAATTCATTTAATCTTAATTATAAAGAAATTACACTGTTTGGTGGATTAATTCAATTCCAAGTAATTAGGACTATTAGGAGGAGAAATGAGGTCCATATAAGGCATCGATTCCATTAATTCGATCAACAAATTCTGAAGTTGACATTTTACTTGCTTACGAGATGAATGGAGAGGTAGGAAATTTTAATGTATTGTTGCTTGCGTTGCGTTTGGCAGCATGGAATTCAAGCATTGGATTTGGATAGCAAATTCAAGGAAGAAATGAACTGTAATATCTTCTAAGCTTCTTGAATCCTCTTGTTCTTGACTAATCTTCCTCCATATTGTTTGTTCTTATCGAAATTTGACTGGTTTACCATACCGAAGCCTCTAAATAGAGATCATGGATATCCACTTCGTGTGGTTGTCCCCGGTGTTATAGGTGCCCGCTCTGTAAAATGGTTGGATTCAATCAACATAATCGGAGAAGAATGTTAGGTTGGTTCTGAAAAATGTAAAAATTAGAGTTCTCTTATAATTATGACCTTTCACTTGTAAATTAAATTATATCTTACACTAATGTATAACGACAATAAACAGGGTTTTTTCATGCAAAGGGACTACAAGATGTTTCCTCCTTCAGTTAACTGGAAAAATATTGACTGGTCCACTTGAAAGCCTCGAATGGATTTTCCAGTCCAGGTTTGTTCTCTGTATTTGACATTGGAAATTACATAGCGTTCACAAACGGAACCATTATGAGCATAATAGATGCACTGTGTTTGGAAATGGGTTGGAATTGAGAAAGGATTTTGAAATTGACAGATTTCAAGTACTTGGGTATTTTAAATCCTTTGTTGAATAAAAAAGATAGATCAAAACTCAAAATTGACAAAACTTCCCTGTGCTCCTCTACCCATGGTAAGATTCGACTCAAAAACTTTAAATATGCGCGTTAAGAGTCGAGGTTGAGGTGTGAGATTAGGGAGAATTTGAATTAATTATTTCAAATCCATTGAAAAGGTTGCCTACAATCCTTAGTAGATTTGAAACAATAGTTACTTGCTGAACTTTTGTAACATCCTTGACTAATTTGCAGAGTGCAATTTGTTCACTGGAGGATGATAATACAGTGCAGCACGGAAAGGTTTGTAACATATTTCAAACACGGTTTCCATTGGGCACAAATATAATGTATGACTGAAAATTTTCACTTTGATCACCCAATTGCCAGTTCCACAATATGATTTGCTTTGTCGACAATATGATACTCATCATTGTCTTCATCATCGTCATGATGCAGGTCAAAGTTCATGGATATGCAGTGTCTGGAGGTGGGCGCGGCATTGAATGACTCGATGTACCATTTGATGGCGGCAAGGCATGGGTGGAAGCATCCAGACACCAAAAGAGTGGAATTCCATATAATGCTATTGCTGATGATGATATATACTGTGACAAATGGGCATGGGTGCTTTTTGAAGCTGAAGGTGATGTCCTCCACAATACAGAGATTGTTGCCAAAGCTGTAAGTAATTGCTAGCTATACTTTTTTCACACAACCCACATATAAGGTATAATATCCACCACAGATGTGTCAAACCCAAACCTTGCAAATGCTAGAACCTTCTGACACTTAATGCAACCAAACCTAACGGTCCTTTGTGAAGTGATTTCTTGCTTGTGTTTACAATGTTTCGCAATTGTTCGTTGATGCATGATTTATCTTTCCTTACAATGATGGGGCAGGTTGACACAGCCGCAAATGTCCAGCCTGAAAATGTGGCAGTCATATGGAACCAGAGAGGGATACTCAACAATTCATGGCATCGGATCCAAATTCACGTCCAAGACAAATAGATAATACAAAATTACTAGCAATTCTTCTACATGTGCACTTAGAATTTTTTAATCACTAGAGGCTTGTATTGTTTTTTTTTTATTATTATTTTCCATGTAATTCTTTTATTAATGAATGTGCCAATGTTTAATTGTCAAGGGAATAATGTCTCTACATAAGACAGTGAAGTGAACTAAGATGTTGAACTAAATGGAAAAATTCACTCTTGTATTTGTATCTCAAACCCTAGCTTGAAATACTCTTCATTTACCTTTTTCCTGAAATTCTAGCAAGTGGAGTTTATTTCAAACATCACAACATAACTCTTTCAGTTTGCAGTTTGTGTAAATTTCTTGTTTTGTATGATACTTGTTTTTCTTTTAATATAACTACATTGTAACTTTTCATGGGAAAAAAAAAAACTAAATGATAAAAAATTAAAACACACACACTTTTCCTTGAGAATGTTGCATTTCAATCCACAGGGGCACTATGGGAAGGGTGTCTCTCAATCCTTCAATTCACATCACTACTCAAATTGCTATGGTAAATAGAAACAAAGCATGCTTAAGTAGTTAAGAGTTGATGTGCCAACTTGGCGTGTCAAACTTAAAAAGTTGCAAACTAAAGCCTAGATGGTGAGATAAGAATAAGAATACATTACACAATTACGAGAATGAGAAAAATTTTGAAGACAAATTTGATTCAAAGATATAATAATGTATTGAAGTGCTCTATCATTTGCTATACATATTTTAACTCAAGCTCTGCATTTTATATGCATGAAGTATTGGTGCATGCATATCTGTAATTCAAAAATCCTTGCCTACATTTATTTTTCTACCTATTTTTAAAACATCAAAAAATCTTAGAATACACGGTTCTAAAAAATGAAAAAGCGATACACCTATGTCTGCAAAAGCAGCCTCCAAGCTATCTCCTTCGGCGCCACCAGTCTGGCACTTTCAATCTCCGGCTTCTATGTACAGCAAGTCTGGCCGCGGAAACCTTGTGCTTTACCTGTCTCCATAGCATATTCACAGCATCTTCCTTTTTCGGGGGATACTGGAATTCAAAGTGATGGGAGACATTTTTGAGCCGCCTCCACATGTCGAGCCATCTCTCTTTAGGAAATTCCCGGAGCTTTGTAACCATGTAACCGGGAACCAACGCCTCCTTGACAGAGAAAAAAACAGAGAACTCTTTGTAGTTGATTTCATCCTCGTAGGGGAGTTCAATTTTGTCACTCACAATAACAGGAACACAGTGGCTTGCGATAGCATCAAACAGGCGGCAAGAGGAAGGCATGTCTCCTACAGGATTTAGACAGAACTTCGATGAACGCATCCCTTGCGAAGACTGGTGTAACAAAAGAGAGAGAAATGAGGAGATGCTAAATATACATTAGTTCAGAGAACATAAACATAGTAAGTGGCTAACATGGCAACCCAAAAACAAGATACATCTCCCCATTCAAAGACAATACAATTGCCCTACCAGTTGGAATCATGTAGGACTCGGTCTTAAGGCTGAGTTTGTTTAGCATGAAAGCGGTGGAAATTGAGGGGAAGAGGAAAAAGATGCAACTTTTCTGAGTCTGTTATGAAAGTGATGGAAACTATAATAAAGTTAATTTTCTTGCACAACTCATATTATCATTGTAATTAAGTTTTAAATTTCTTGTAAAAAAAATATATGAAAGCACTAAAAAATTTAAATTTGTCCATACAAAGAGTTGCCTATAGTTAAAAATTCAAATTTCTTACAAAATTTTCATCCCAATCAAATTTCTCTATCTTTCCACCATTTTTCTTTCTAACCAAACAGAGCCCAAAGTTTCATCTTTTGAACACAATAGTGTAAAGGAAAAAAAATCAATCACTGGGTTAGATTGGTGTGTGTGTTTTTGTTTGTAGTTTTGTTTGCACTTAACAAGACAGTGAAAAACAGCATAGCATCTTAGATCATTCATATAACTTCATATCATACCGCTTTTATGTTTTCTTCTGTCGCATAGCTATGCTCATAGTGGACATCCTCGAAAACAACTAATATCTTTGCTAGTTTAGCACGAACTTTTCCTTCCTGCAACATTCAAGGAATACCAAAGATTATATTCAGGTCCAAATAAAAGAAAATTACAAGACAATCAACTCTAAAACCAACGGACATACATTTTTCCTCACTGTCCTTCCCCGGAAGAAAAGAAGAGTAGTGCGAGACTCATGTGGCTCTGGAGGGTCATCATCGGTGAATGAATCCACAACATGCATATAAGGGGCCACCACATCTTTGCTCAAATTTGCCGTGATTTTAGTGTAGCGACCAAAATCTGCAACAATGAGAATAGATGCGTTCACCTGCTCTCGAAGAAATTTAAAAGCATTTGGATGTTGCATGGGAATTACATGGTTCCGGCCAGCTGACCTCTGCCAGTACTTGGATTGCCTCAGAAGTTTAAGTACGTCAACCTAAACCAGACACACATATTCAGCTCCGAAAAAGATACATGGTGCAATTAAGTAGTGGTGTTAACATAGCTAAATGATGTTAAGACCATTCAAGAAAACAACTATTAAAATGCTGATTTTACAGCCAAAAATAAGAAAGTAAAACAAGAAGAAACAGCAACTACATGAATCGATAACCATAGAAATCAGCATGTTACCAAATAATTAAAACTTTTATGCAAGAAATTCATCCTGCAGAGAGGCTCATCGTGACTTACTGCATCAGACAATTAGGCATCTGATAGTAAACTATCAAATGGTTCTAAAACACCTCTTTGATTTGACTTAAACACAAAAGATCACAAAATCCCACCAACCATTGCATTTATGAATAGTCAACGACTAGGAGCACATCATGTTATCAAGGGAAAAGGTCTTGGCCGGCAGTTTTATATTTATTTAAACATGTAATAGTGTATATACAGAGTTTAAGAAGAAATCAAGTCTTAGCAGTAAACCACTTTCAAAGATCTCCAAATGCCAATGTAAACTCAATCCAAATAGAAAGAGCTTGATTTGTCTCATGCAAATCAAGATTTTTCAAAGACTCCAAGCTATATTTGTCTACTTTAAGAAACAATTTCCATTTGCATAAATTTTGTTTGGTCATTTGTATTACAACGAAATAGCTCCAAGAAACTCTGCTCCCTGACCTGCCTAATGTCATCTGATAACAAGTCTGATTCCCAAATCTTATTTTGGTTGTGCAAATAAAGAGATGACAAAGAAATAGAAGGGAACAGAGAAAAAAAAAAGAGTTAAAATTTAAAAATGGTTAAATAGCAGAAATTTTGTTTTTACCATTTTCTGCATCTAATGCTATAATAAACAAAGAATTAAATTTTCCTCTCTTTAGTAGCAAATGGAGCAATGTTTAAATGGACATTTATTACTACTACAATCAATGGTGGAGCCACTATCAACCTCCAAAATTTACTTTTTAGTCTAAGATTTTAAAAACATCTTTCGAATTGCCCACCTACAATTAGATATATGCCCCTAAATTTGTTTGCAACCAACCCCTTTTTATCTTGTCGACAAAATTCCTACAATTTACCCATTTAATTTTTTATTGTACTATAAAATTCCTTAACATATACAGTGAAGTTTTAAATTTTTTTTCCAAAACTCATAACCAAACAAAATTTTCAAATCAAACTTTCAAAACTCAATTGCACACTCAATTCAAAACCCAATTCAACACTCTATTCAAAAATCATAACCAAACAAATTTTCTACACTCAAATCATAATTTCAAAACACACAAATTCAAAATACAACTCATATTCTCAAATCATAGTTAGAAGGTCTTACCAAACGGAGCCAAAATATCTCCTATAGTAAAATAGAAAATGCAATTTTAACAAGAGGTCAGTGATATTTTCATAAGAAAATTTATAAAGTGCATAGAATTGAGTCTAATTTTATGATCAGATTTTGTGTACATAAATAAATAAAATTTGTTCTCATAATATATATAGTTGCAATAAATATAATATGAATTATATGCATGCATGTGGTGTGGAGGGAACAAAGTTAAAGGCATGGACTTACAGTTGTGAGGAGGTTGTTTAGAATGGAAATGCTATCAGATTGAATGAAGTTGATCTTATGCTCCACATCAGCCTTCTTTATAAATGGCAGTCCTGTCTCACAGGCTTCTCTATTTGGGTCTCTTAAATTGGGATTCAATATTTGGTGCAAGAATCTTCTGTTTCCAAATAACCATGTCCATCTGTCTCAATTCATTCATTGCCATTGGATCATATGAGCATCCTAAGATGTGAAAATCTCAATGGTTATAAGTAAATTGGAACAGGGAAAAAGAATTATTTGAGAACAGAGGATCCTTACACCAATATTTGATATAATATTAAGTATCAAATGGTTATGGGTTCACCTAAAATTTATGGAGATGTTATACTTCTAACAACTAATGGAAAAGTCCAGACACCCATAAATAAATATGAGAAAATTGTTTAGAATTTCATATTTAGAGTATAGATTTAATTTTTTGTAATGAGATTATTTCATGAATGAATCTTGATTTTAAATTTTAAATTCTATATAGTTTCTAGTATTTTTTATGAGTATGTAGACGTACTGATTACTAATCCATATTTAACTAACGCATGCCAATCCAACCTATAGAAAAAACTGACACTAGTGCTCTTTTTTTTTCTTTTTTTTTTCTTTAACTTATTTTTTTATATTTAGTGAGTTTTTTTTTATAACTTTGAGTAAATTTTTTATTTTTATTTTTTAGGTCAGTTTATACTAAATGATTTTTTTGAACAAAGTTAAAGGCATGGACTTACAGTTGTGAGGAGGTTGTTTAGAATGGAAATGCTATCAGATTGAATGAAGTTGATCTTATGCTCCACATCAGCCTTCTTTATAAATGGCAGTCCTGTCTCACAGGCTTCTCTATTTGGGTCTCTTAAATTGGGATTCAATATTTGGTGCAAGAATCTTCTGTTTCCAAATAACCATGTCCATCTGTCTCAATTCATTCATTGCCATTGGATCATATGAGCATCCTAAGATGTGAAAATCTCAATGGTTATAAGTAAATTGGAACAGGGGAAAAGAATTATTTGAGGACAGAGGATCCTTACACCAATATTTGATATAATATTAAGTATCAAATGGGTATGGGTTCACCTAGAATTTATGGAGATGTTATACTTCTAACAACTAATGGAAAAGTCTAGACACCCATAAAAAAATATGAGAAAATTGTTTAGAATTTCAGATTTAGAGTATAGATTTAATTTTTTGTAATGAGATTATTTCATGAATGAATCTTGATTTTAAATTTTAAATTCTATATAGTTTCTAGTATTTTTTATGAGTATGTAGACGTACTGATTACTAATCCATATTTAACTAACGCATGTCAATCCAACCTATAGAAAAAATTGACACTAGTGCTCTTTTTTTTTCTTTTTTTTTTCTTTAACTTATTTTTTTATATTTAGTGAGTTTTTTTTTTATAACTTTGAGTAAATTTTTTATTTTTATTTTTTAGGTCAGTTTATACTAAATGATTTTTTAAAAAAAATAATTTTGAAAAAAAAAAAGAGAGTTTACTTTAAACAAAAATAAGTCAAATTTTGTCAAAAAACGTAACACAGTTTACTTAAATTTGTTACTAGTATCCAAATTTTCAAAAATTTACGATCATCCAATTTAAATAGACCTTAGAAAATTACTCAAAATTAACAAAGACAAAATAGGTAAAAATAGCCAATAGACCTATTTTAGTATGGCTAAAAAAGTTGTGTTTGGGAAATTGACTTTTTTTGTAGTTGATTTGATAATTGTGTTGTGAGAGAAAAAATAAAATGATTATGATTTGGATGTGAAATTTTATTTTATTAGTTATTTTAGCTTTTTTTGTCTTTATTAAATATTTTAGCTCAAACCTAACTTCCCAAATAGGGCCTAAATGATCAAAATAACTTAAAAAAATAAGTCAATTTATAAATTACAGCCAAAAAATTTGGTCAAATTCCTCTTATAATAAAATTTTAATGCTTTAAGGACAAGCATAAAAAAATTTCTTTGAAAAGTCCAACACATACTATTATTATCAAAATATTAAACTTTAAAATAACATAACTTTTGATGTAGATGTAGATTTTTAATAAATTAGTATTTTAAAAATTCTCTCATGAAGATCTATCAAATAAGATCCACGTTGACTATAAAATTCTTTAAAAAAAATAATTTATTACCGCCGAAATTGATGTAAACAGTAACATCAACATGTTATTCTGTCTCAAAGTAACATGTTACTCTGTTTAACAGTTACATGTTACTCTATCTCACACTAATATATTACTCTATCTCGCAATAATATGTTACTCTAATTCACAGCAACATGTTACTTTGATAATATTATTTAAGAAAAAAAAGATATTTTACTGTGTACTTGCTCAATTATGTTTTTTTTCTTTAGTAGATTTATGAATCAAATAAATTGTGCGGTCCCTTTTACCAAATAACAGTCCAACAAAAGAATTTTCACTAAATTTCCCTATACTTTATTGGTAATAATTGAATTTCCACCAGGCTCCCGGCATTACAAAAATTATGGAGGATTGAGGTACGAGGCCTCATCCCGCATTTAGAGCGACTGTTTCTATTGTTTGGAGATTATTTATGTAACGGTGGGTTTGCAATGTTATTATGAATGAAAAACTTGCCTAGTGAGGAGAGAATAACCATTAAAAACACCAATCTCCAAAGTTTTATTGGCATTCATGAGCTTTAGAAGCATTGAGATGAGTTGTCCTTCATCAATAGGGATGTTCATTAGACTCCTGCAATACTCTTTTTTTTTTTTGGATAGTACCTGCAAGACACTTTTTAAGATGCAATAACACAATTGAAGATAATGTATTGGCATGCATTCGCTATTTTTGTCAAATCATGAATGGAATTGGTTTGGTAATTATTTTTCTAGTAGTTTTTAATTTTTTTTAGAATTTAAAGAAGTTAATTTGTTTGGGGTTTTTTTTGGCTATGGGTAAAGTTTTGTGGGTCTTTTTAAACTTATAATTTGGGTGTAAAATTGTCATATTACCCTCTTATGTTGTAAAACCTTTGTTAACATAACCAATAGAACACAGTGAAATTTCTCAAACTATTGAAGGTAAAACCGTCTTTACGTAAATTTGTAATTACTCTCTTACTGATTAATAATAAAAAAGAAAAGAAAACCAAATCAAACAGGTTTTTTAAATTTTTGAAAAAAAAAATACAATTTATTTTGGACATAAACCAATAGAAGCCATACCATTCCTTGTACTTATTGAAAGAAGCTTATTTGAGTTCCTTCAGTTGCGGATGCTCTCGGGGATAGCAAGTAGTTTCCACAATGTACTGCAAAGTTTGCCACCATGCCTTTTTTAGAGCTTAATCCTAAAGAGGTCATGGGTTCAATTTCTCTTTGGAGGGTTGAATTAAGGGTGTGCAAGCACTTAAGTGCTTTACTAAGGGTGAGGAGATTTTCTCTCATAGGTGCTTATCTAACAACTAATAACTAACATTTGTCGATCCAAAAGAAGAAAAAAAAAATGTTAGATCCTTTCGAGGACATTTGATAAAATTAGAACGGTATATAGAATCAATATATTAGAATTAGAATTACAATATGAGAAAGTTTTTTTGACCGACAATCTGAGAAAGTTTGAGAGATTAAAGTGCACACATAGTTGTTGTTATTATTTTATATACATTAATAACATTTTTATTTAGTGAAAAAGAGAAAGGGTGGCGGGAAGTGAAACCCATGGTAAGACTTGAAATCCACATCTCAAAGTTTGTTAAGATCATGCAAGAATGGTAGAAATGAATAAGTTAAATGAGTGATGAGTAGTATAACTAGCTGAATTATATATTTTTTTATAATAATAAATTTATCACTTAAAATTGAATACTATAACTTTCTGATAAATAAATTCAGTCCACAAAACTGGCTCTTAACAACCCTAAATAATAAGTCAGCCAAATTTTGCTTTGCCAAGTGCTGCATTGCAAACCAATTCAACGTTGGTTTGCCAAAACCGCTTTGTAAGGAATTGTTAGTTTAAAACCAACCCATACTTTTCATCTCTTATCCGACACCTCTCTCTCAAATGTTTGGTATCATTTTCAGTTTTTTGTTTTCATTTTTTGAAAAACAAATAAATAAATAAAAGTTTAAAAACAAATGGCTTAAGAAAAACGCGCACACACAAAAAAAAAAATTGTTCTCAAGAACTATTTTCTCACAAAATGAAAGCGATGTACATTTTAAATTTTCACAAAAATGTGAAAAACAAAAACAATACCAATGAGGTAAGTTTCCGAAACATCCCTAAGCAAAAGCAAATTTTAAAGATCTTATGCATGAGTTTTAAAATTGAAAGAAATATTGAGAGAGTGATTGAAAGAGCTAATACACTCTGTGATTCAATTGTGTATTAAACATGAAGAGAAGGCTCCATTATATAGGAGAGCTAATACAACATCATTATGATACTACATTATGAAAGAAATCAGTTGGACTTGTATCTGGGCCTATAAACATAGCACACAATACTAGGGGTGCAACTC